AGCATATACAAGTCTGAATATATGTAATCTGTTTTATAAAATTAAGATTTTTAAGCACTTTATATGTGCTAGGAACTCAACTATATTTTTCACATAATTAATTTAATCTTTGACAATCCCTATGAAATAGATGCGATTGTTATCAAAATTCACAAATGATAAAATTGAATATAATTTTACAAAGTCATAGTGTTAGTAATTAGTACAACTAAGATTTGAATCTATGTTTATGTGACTCCAAATCCCATAATCATGACTTCTACATTATAAAACAGTGCTAGCAAACATGTGTCACTTGCTCTTGGATTTCACTCCCAAACTCTGTAGCAACCCATTTTATTGCATCTTTCTAAATGTAATTCTCATCCAAGTTGGCTTAGGGAATAGTCTCCCAAATGGTTCCCTACTGGTAATTAAACACTTTCCTGAATCTTTACTCCTACTGTGCCCCGATTGGAAAACAAACCCAAGAAAACAGAAATTAGAATTCTCCTTTTATTGAAACATTATGAAGGTCAAATTGATGAGAGACTGAATGAAGAGCCTCTGCTTTTTTAAATTCCATGCTAGGAGACTCTGGATTCTAACACTACAAGGACCCCCATTATGTGACCACTTGCTTGATACTACAGTCATCAAGGCAGAATGATCCACCAGTGGAGACTTGCCAAGGTCTAGGTATCACTAGGTAGTTTCCATATAATTGTCAAACTGGTTTGATTGTTAATGGAAGATTGTAGATTGGGGTATTTAAAATTTTCAAAGTTCTAATAGATTTGATTTCAGGTTTATGAATTTTACTTTCACAAATCATGTTCACAGTAAAYAATTATAACATTAACTCTGTACCATAAAATATAGCAACAGTAGGACAGTGAAATTGTAGGTGGAGAGGAGACACTACCAAGTTCATAAGTACTGGGAACATTGTGTGGTTGGAGCCAGAAAACCTGGGATTTGGTCTCAGTCAATATGTCTTGCATAAGCTACTTAGATTCTTTGACCCTAATGCTCTAATTTGCAAAAGCAATGAATTTTTTTAAAAAATTGAGTTTTTGTTAAATAACATTCAATTTGGAGATGTTCTGTAAGTATAATGTATAAAATGGTAGCTGCCACTGCTTTGTTTGAAGAGAAAACATAATTTTAGCATGCATTTAGTATACTCTATAAAGAAGCTTTTGGGACTTGCAAGACATCTTATTTTCAGTTTAGGAATTTGATTATCTTAACAGAAGCCTATTTTCATACCTTTTTAAACTCTGAACTTTCAAGATAAAAGATGCCTATTTCATCTTTGCTGAAAGTATGAATAAAATAAACAAGCCCTAGGAAGGATGTTCTGTGAGCCTATAACACAAAGTCCTGTATCACTCAGGAAYGCTCAATCAGTGGACATAACCACAGCTTCATCCCGAGTATGTTTATGTTTAATAATTAAGATAATCACTATTTCCATTGCTGTTCCATTGCCACTTCATAAGGCATGTACCAATGGTATTTTAATATTTTTCTCTCATTGACCACCGACTCTAAGTCATTCTTTGTTAGTTACTGACCTTTACAAATCCCAGGGGCATTTGCCACTGATTACAACAATCACAGATGATATTGCACCAAAGTTATTAGGAGTACAATGCAAAAAATAAAATTATAATAAATGACTGTCATTCCTTTACTAAACAGTATTTGAAATTGGTTCTAGCACATTCCATGTTCAATACAGCAAAATGTGCCAAACTGAAGAACCAAAAAGACACTTACTTTTTCATAATAGCATCAAACAAAAAGAAATCTAGACCCTTGTTTAGTGCAATAACCAGGAATTCCACAGTAAGCACAGCATAGAGATCAAATAATTCTCAAAAGACTAACTTCAAAATCTYACAAGATCTTCTCAAAGTGGTTATACTTATGAAATGTGTCAAAAGATACACACAGTCCAATGGACACAAATGGCAGTAATTCCAAGTAGAAAGCAAAGGTAAGGTCCCAGGTAGATTTGAGACTGAATGACAGAACATCATTGTATCATAAGGAATATGGAATGTTAAGGATAAAAGACATCTGGTAGAAAATATAAAACCTATTGAACCATAATATTGGATCTTGGGTCTGGTCAGGTGATTTGGGCTGAGAAAAGATGTAAGATACCCATCTCCACATTTGAGAGTTAAATATTTATAATAAAAACCATAAGGTGGATAGACATTAATAGTGTTATTGTTCTACACTATACTACTCTTTAAAACTTAAAAGAATATTTGTTTCATGATCTTGTAAAGCAGCTGTTGCATCCTGTGTTCTATTTTCTCTTTCATTCCATTAATGATGTATCAGTTTATTGTGGTGCTGGCGGTTTATTTGTATTTTTAGTAAAGGACTCAACCTACTAACTTTATATCTTAAGTGAACTGATATGTAGTAATAACCATTTCCCACTTGCTAGATTAGTAACTATATAAATTTGAACAAGAATAAAAATACAAGTGAAAATAATGATAAGAAAAAAAATGATTTTCTTACATAGTTTTAAAGTTCATAAAAACATTCCCAAGTAATAATTTTTTGGAAGATTCTGTGAGAAAATATGGTATTATTCTCATTTTTCAGATTAAGAAATATGAAGTTTCTAAATGTTAAGGGCCTTAACCAAGGCTTCATTGTCTGCATACTATGAGTCAGAATAAGAACCTAGTTATGTTTGTCCTAATCACAGCATTCTAAAAAGTGCCTTTATTTTAATAAAACTTACTCCCATCAATGATATTGTAAGCCCTGACACCTACCCCTGCCTCCAGTGACTCACATCACTCACTTCACTGAAAGCACAAGCAGTTTACCTTTAGCAAAAAGTTTTTCCAATTCCACTGCCATTTGTACGATTTCATCTTACCAATGATGCCAGCTAGATTTGAAGGAAATTAAATCTAGATGCTGTGAGCCCCAGATAGTTTCTAACATGAACTGGCTTCTAAAGGAATGACAACTCAAATAATCAGCAAGAAATGGAAACTCAAGATAGGGGCATTGCCCAATGTATTACCAAATACTAACTGTTGGGTTGTGTGATACAGGTGAATCCCCCCCCCCCCGCCTCTCTCTCTTTTTTTGCATTACAATTCTTAATACTCATATATATCACAATTTTTGTATCTCTGTTTATATATAAAGTATGTTGACACCCAATTCAAGTCTTCATACATGTACTTTGTATAATGATGTCTATCACATTCCACCATCCTTGCTAATCCCCTGCCCCCTCCCTTTCCCTCCCACCCCTAAAGGTGTCTCTTTGTTGAACATTGTGCTCAACTGAAAGACAAACAATATTCCTACAACCATAACTGGAAAAAAACAGTATTTCTAAACAAACAAACAGGTTTTTTGACTTATCAATACTAGTTCTAGGCAATATGAATATTTGAGATCATAGAATTTGCCAAAATTAACATATATATTTATATTATATCTTATAATATTTTATGTATTTTATATTAAATGAGAAAATACTTATTTAATTATAAAATGCATAAATGCTAGGGTTACTATTAATTAAAAAGATATCAGTATGTTTTGAAAAGTATTTTTTTTTTAGTATTTATTCATGTATGTGAAAGCATACCAACAGAAAGAAAATAGAAACAAAACATCTTTTACGTGGTAAGTTGTGGGACTAAAAAAGGAAATAAAAAGAAAAGTAACAAAACATGCTTATCTGTTAAAATTAGATATTTTAAAATTTATTTACCTTATTTTCATTCTTAGAAAACAGAAATGCGAAAATTTAAGAGTAAAACTTGGTAAAGTGTAAAGTTTGTTTCAAATCATATTTCACAAACCATAGAATACAATAGCATATGGAAGCATTTCAGAGAATGTCAGTATTCTTATTTATGGAGAGACACATGCATTTGTGACTTGGGATATGCCAAACAGATCCTTGCTTCAATTTCTTCTAAGGAGGCTGTGTAGAAGTAATGCTACAAAACATACAGTGTACCCAAGCCTTTCCATATAAAAGTGTACCAACAACAGACAGATCCACAAGGGAACAGGGCACAGAAATATTAAATATTTTCTTTCCACTCCAAATTTTGTGCAACTGAATTTACCAAATAACAATAGTAACAATGATACTTATTGTGTTCATACTATTGCTCCTACTAATAATAACTACTTATCATTATCAAGAACTTACTATGAACTAGGTACTGTGTAATTTCTCTGTTAGGAACTCAGTTAATTCCTACAATAACCCTCATATAATGGGTATTAGTAGTATCCTCACTTCACAATTGATGGAGCTGAGATAGAGAGAGGCTAATTTTCTTGCAATACAAAATGTGATGGCTGATTCTGGTGCATTCCCAGGCAGTCTTAGCTGCTGTGCTCTACTCTCTGGATTTCAGATACAGGTTATGTGGTCAGGTCTGCAGTTGCAAGCTATCAGTGGCTAGAATGCCAAACTGTCACAGATTTACACAGTTTGGATGTGAGTAAAGAGAAGTACAAAATGTCAGAGTAATTCAGAAATGGGCATTCACATTTTGGGGTGTATGTGTCTGTGTGTGTGTGTGTGTGTGTGTGTGTGTTAGGAGTAGTTGCAGAAAAGGTGATTGCAAACCAGAAAAGAAGTAAGGAGTATTGATTGGGTAGGGTCTTTTTTCCCCCTAGAATTTCAAAGTATATTTACAACTTCTTGATTTCTCTATTCTTCCCTAAACAAATATGTACATATTTCACTTTTATATTCACATGGATTCTATATAAATCAAAAGCAGTATGGAGTGATTCCCTATATGACCTGAAATGGCCTCACTGTGAGCTCTCAAGGTAAGGAAATAATTTATTTTTGCTGCAGCTCCTCTGTGTCCTAAGGGTTTTCTCCCTATGCTCCACAAAACCAGATCTGGATCCAAGATTTCCACCTGGGAGAGGCTGCCTAGATTGACAAGGAAAGGACACAGCCCAGATTTCCCTCTAGGAAGGCAACATACCCGGTCTGTTTTCCCTTCAGTCTGAACACTGGTGTGGCTGCGGACCTCATGATCTTCTTCAAGGTCAGAAACATCCTCCAGTTCCTCTGGGGTCTATAAAAAGAAAGCAAAATAATGCTTATTTTGGAAAACAGATTGTCAGTACCTGAAAGGGTAATCATAGTGTTAACATATAACAGTCCCATTTCTATTTGTATACCCAAGAGAATGAAARCATAGGTCCTTATTAAAAAACTTACACTCAATATTCATAGAAGCATTATCTGTAATAGTTAAAAAGTAGGAAAAAAAACCTCAAAAATACATCTACCAATGGATAAAAATATATGGTATATCTATACAATATTATYTTATTTGGCCACAAAAAGCAGCAAAGTACTGAAATATGCAGCAGTATGGGTAAACGTTGAAAACATTGAGCTAAGTAAAAGAAGTCAATCATAAAAGATCACATATGACAGTAGCTCATTTATGTGACATATCTAGAATAGGAGAATCTACAGACTTGATTAGTTGTTTCTAATAGCTATGGAGGAAAAGAGGAAGGGGCAGTGACTGCTAAGGGGAATGTGATTTCTCTTTGGAATGATAGCATTGTTCTGTAATTAAATAGTGGTATTAAAAAACTAAGTTCTATATTTTCAAATGGTGAATTTTATGGTATTTGAGTCACATTCCAATAAATTTTGAAATAAAAAGAAAGCAAAAAAATGATCAGAAGGAAGGTATTCCCTTAGTGAATAGCAATTAAGCTACCCACTACATGGTTACCCCAAACCAATGTGTTTATAGTAATAAGTAAATCAGATAATTACCATTAAAATCATAAATCATCAAAATTCCATGAAAAAATATTAAGTAAAGTTTTCTAGGTTGTAATAAATTATTTTACTTAAATATATGTGTATATTTTAAATTGTTAGTGTTTATTCCTTTAATTAATTTTACCTTCAACACCCCTTGCAATGAGGTGTCTTGCTCAGGAAATCTCTGGACTGGCTTGGACAGCTCTGACAAGTGTTTCCTGGTCCCCTCTACTTTTACCATCATAGTGCTCATCATACATTATTATTATTGTTTGTTGAATTAGGCAGCTAATTTATTGAACCTTCTACTGAGTGAAGCAAGTACCTAATTGGCCCTGTTGAATGTCTTAAAGCTATATATTAAGAATGAATGAAGCAAAATTAGCGGAGCCAGTAACAAAGCAAAACAGATTCACCACAAACACTTATCCTAACTATACTTTTCACTGTGCTTCTGTTTTTCACATTTCAAACTGAGATATTTTGTTTTGTGCCGATTTTCCCAATTCAATATTTTCAAACCCTTAGTCTGAGGGCAACAATAATATAAAGGTATCTGTCATTATTGCAAACACAGGTAAAAATATTTAACAAGAACTATTCTAATATTTGTTTTAGCTTATGTGGTCACAATTTTTACTGTGATTCTTTTGTTACAAAGTGCTGGTGACAAACTTAGAAAATAAATATTTAAGTCTTATGAARAACAACCAAAAACCTGTTGGTACGGCAAATCTTATGCACATGTGAATATTAAAGACTGGCCTCCCTGGTTTCCCTTAAACCTTGCTATGCACAGAGGTATTTGTGTATTTTCACATCTGCTAAGGACCTACCTTTCCTTGGGACCAATCTAGAGATGGGGATAGAAGACTAGATAATATTGCAGAACAGAACTACCAATTAACTATCCTCTAAAGGATTCTAATTTTGTGTCATCTCATGGATCTTTAACTAGCATTTCCTTTGTTCTCAAACATTTGCACTCATTATCACCCACCATCTGCAAAGGGAACTTTTGCACTTATTTCAACTGACTTCTATTACATACTGTTATTCCTCCTCTCAGCAAAGCCTTCAACGTGCGGAGTATTTGCTATCTGTATGTTGATCATTTTACAGTCTTTCTCTGCTGAAACTGTGAGAAGCAATGATCCCAAGGCAATTCTCTCTTCTTAGATATTAATAGTGTGAGTTCACCACTATGGAACTTTTACAAAATCACACATTACATTATTAGTTGTTTTGTGTATTCTTCTCAAAATATTCTTGATAAGGCATCTTTGCAATATTCCTGCTTAACATATCACCAAGCCCTATAATATGTGAGTAAATGTGGTAGATTAAATGCCCTTTTTTGCATCCCGTTGTTTTGCAAATGAAGGCCTCCTGATATTMCTTCTATGAGCTGTGTCTTATAAAAGTCGCTGTTTATTATTTGAATTGTATAACATATCACGATATCAGTGACACATAACTTCATCATTGTCCCAAAATTTTACTCAACTCCAAAATAAATTTAACAAAAACTAAGAGCAACCAGTAGCTGTCAGAAGTYACAAGTGGCATTTTTGTTGGTGATGAAAGGGATAAGCCTACCAATCACTCCCAAATACTTCTGTGTTTTTCTTTGTCTTTAACATGAACTAATAGCATTCTTGCAAATGGCACCAAGATTGACCTCTTCTTTTTATGAACACAATCAGTGGGAGAGTGTTCATCACACTTGTTGGCAGCATTTCACATTCTTTAAGGCAAGAAGCTGGATGGTTTTGTGAAAATAAAAACGTAAATATATAATGTAACAATTTAAATGGAAAATAAGAAAGAGGGGTTCTATAATCACATTTTGAGAGTCGTATCAACTTCTTTAGCACTAAAAAAATAATAGAAAGTATAATTTTTTTAAAAGGGAGGAGTGATGATGGACTATCTTATTGGGTACTCTTAAAAATAACAGGTCAGACTTCCTGGCATAAGCGCATAAGCCCAGGTACTTGGGAGACTGGGACAAGAGGATCTATCACAGTCTTGGCAACTTAGCAAGACCCTGTCTCAGAATAAAATAAAAAGGGCTGGGGGTGTAGCTCAGTGGTAGAATGCTTGTTTAGCATGTTTGAGTCCCTGAATTCCATCTTCAGTACACAGGTACAACAAAAAGCAGGCTTCTACTCAATCAGTGATGTTAGAAACCTAAACATCTGGAAGAAGTGTGTGTGTGTGTGTGTGTGTGTCTGTGTATACGCACGTGTGGGAGTGCACTTCCAATCAATTTTATTTCCATGATGGAAGATTGATTATCTTAGAGGAAATGGCATATACTGTTGAATAATGAAAATTTAAATTTGAATTCTGGCCATCAAATGAATGATTATGGGATTTGGAGAAATTTGTATACCTTATAAACTTTGGTTTCCTTGAGAAAAAATGTGAATAATATTACCAACCTTGAAAGTTGTTCTGAGCTTCAGTAGTACCTTAAGAATTTAGCCCAGAGAGATAGCTAGGGCGATTTCTGCTCCTTGCTCTACTATCCTAGCCTATCCTGCAACCCAACAAACTTCTTTATATTTTTTAATAAAATATTAATGTAAACTTATATACCTTCATTTTAATCCAAATTTGTTCTTGGTCAGGGACTGTAGGCAAGTCACCAAATATTTCTGTACCTCACAGTCTTCAGATATTATTCTGGATTTATGTGACTTTGCTAGCTGCCTATAGTTAAATTGATCTGAGGAAACAGCCTATTTCAGATCACTTTTGGACTGCCCAAGGATACCTTCATAATAAGCAAGAGTATAAATAGAAAATATTAAAAAAGTTTCCCAAATTCTGATATAAATACAACGATTAAAGCCTAGTTTTATTAACACTCTTTTTGGAAAAAAATGAGMCATTTTCATTTTGGTCAAATTTAGAGACAGCCCAATTTAGAGGAAGCAAGTTATTTCTACCATCTCTGAGAATTTATGCCAAAGTGAGTCTTTGCTAGTACCAGTTTAAGAAATAATTTTAGTCTTACATATGATTAAAATCCAATCAAAGAGATCTCTTATTTGGTGGTTAAAGAAAGCAGTGCATGTGGAAATATATTAAACCTTTTTAGGACAGTAACATTATATATTCAATATATAATTCAAATATATATATTCAAAATCAGATCCCTAACAATAAAAATTATCTGYAGATTGGCAAATATTTTCTGGTCATGGAGAGGTCACCTTTGTTTGAGCATCACTGCTCCAGAACTTTGACTCACCTAGCTCGACACAGGTGGTGGAAATAAGACTGTATTTAAATTTTCTATGAGCAAGGTTGAAATTGAGTTGGGCTAAAAGAAGTACATAAACTAAAATTCATGCCCCATGATTCCATTGTGGTTACAAGACAGAAGAGTACATTCTATTTATTATAATCTTAACAAAACTATATGAAGGGTCTGGGGCTGTAGCTCCGTGGTAGAGTGCTTGCCTCACAGGTGTGAGGCCCTGGGTTCAATCCTCAGAACCACATGAAAATAAATAAAGATATCGTGTCCATTTACAATTAAAAATATTTTTTTAAACCATGTGAAGAAGATATCAGAAGATTTGTGAAAATWAAATTACAAACATGGTTGTAATGCCTTCAGCAAAATAAAGGCAACTTTTAAAATATTGGTGTTAAAGAGGTATAATTTTTCTTTTTAAAGCTAAATAGTGCTCCATTGTTTATGTGTATATTTATCTGTCCATTTTCTGATGATGGAAACCTAGGTTGATTCCATCAAGTGATAAAAAAATTAGTTATGTTATATATTCATGGGTCACAATGTCATATTTTATTATATGCTTATACTATGGAATGATTAAATCAAGATAATTAAACAATTCATCACTTCAYGTATTTATCATTTTTTTGTTTGGTGAAAATAATACCCAAAGGAATCTTTGGTTGAGATGGACTCAACCTAGGTGTCCAKTATCAGAAAAATGGACAGATAAATATACAGATAAACAAAAGAACACTATTTAGTTTTAAAAAAGAAAAATTCTGCCACTTTAATACCAATATTTTACAAGCTGCCTTTATTTTGCTGAACTTGCTTTTAACTTTCATTATTTAATGAAAATAAACAAAATTATATAATAAAATTTGTTTAAACTTCACACTCATTTGAAAGTAACCCCATGTTCCCCTCCTCCAACCCCTGAGAACCACCATTCTACTCATTTTTTCTATGAATTTGGTGACTTCTGGTGATCTCATCTATGTGGAATCATGTAGTACTTGTCCTACTATTAT